CTTATCTATTTCTATCTAGTTCTACCTAATAGCAATTAAGTACATGTAGTTTAAAATTCTTGATTTTTTGTGATACCCCATACTTTTTAGTTATTTTTGTTCATTTCATCTTAGTGGAACGTAGTTTAAATTTGTGATTTTACGGGCTTTAACGCACAAATTTTATCCATTTTTGCCAATTTCCACAAAATGGCAACTAGGTACGCGTGGTACAAAATAATGATTTTCATAGACTATAACCCACGATTTTTTTATTTTAAAATATTTCAACCCGATGGCACATAGTTCAAAATTTACGAGTTGAATGGGCTATAACCCACATTTATTGTTCGTTATTGCCTGTTTTGACTCAATGGCAATAAAGCCTTCGTAGTTCAAAATTTTGATTTTCATGGGCTATAATCCAAGATTTTTTATCTTCTTTTTCTTGTTCCAACACAATGGGAATTAAGCATGCATGTGTCAACAATTTGTGATTTTATTGGATATAACCAACAATATTAATATGTATTTAGCCATTTTGACCCAGTGGCAACTAATTATGCGAAGTTTAAAATTCTTAGTTTTCATAGGCTATAACTCATAATTTTTGTCTATTTTTATTTGTCTCAACTCAATAGCAATAAAGTATTTATATATAAAAGTTATTGGTTTTCGTGGCCATAACCCTTGAATTTCTCCCCTATTGCAACCTAAGGAGAATTAAGCATGCATACATCAAAACTTAGGATTTTTATCAGATATAACCCATAATTTTTATCTGCTTTTGTCCATTTTGATCCAATAGCAATTAAGTACGCATAGTTCAATAATCCCGATTTTCAAAAGCTATAACGAACGATTTAATCATTCTTGTCCATTTTGGCCTTATGAGAATTAAACACGTGTACATAAAATTAGCAATTTATAGGCTATATAACCCATAATTTTTATATGTTTTAGCCAATTTCAACCGAATGACAGTTAAGCATTTCTTATTTTCATGGGCTATAAACCTATATAACCCACAATATTTGTTTGTTTTCATCCTTTTTGACTAGATGACAAATTTTCGACTTTCATGGGCACCAAAGATTCTTGTTTATTTTTGTTCGTTTTGACCCAATTGGCAATTATGTATGTTTACTTCAAAATTCACAATTCTGATGGGCTATAACCCACCATTTTTGACTATTTTAACTGAATCATAATTAAGTACACAGTTCAAAATTCGTGATTTCATGGCTTATAACCCACAATTTTTGTCTGATATTGTACATTTCGACCCAATGACGTAAAGTATGCGTATTAGAAAATTTCTCGTTTTCATTTTTGTCAATTTCGACCCAATAGGAATTAAGTGTACATCAAAATTTGAGATTTTATGAGCGACAATCCACGACTTTTGTCTATTTTGTATGTTTCAACTCAAAAAGTAATTAAGCACATTTACTTCAAAAATCACGATTTCATAGGTTACAACTATGAGTTTTGTCTGTTATTGATCGTTTTAACCCAATGTAAATGAAATATGCATATTTTCAAATTCTTGATTTTCATGGACTATTAACCATGATTTTTCTAATGTTTTGACTACTTTGACCTAATAGGAACTAAGCAATCGCATATCAAAATTGGTGATCTTATAGCCTATAGCCCACAATGTTTATCACTTTATCCCTTTTTCCCCATTTCCATCAAGTAGAGATGAAGTCTATGTAGTTCAAAATTCTCAACTTCCATCGCCTATAGCCCATGATTTTTTTTTTCATTTTCATGAATTTCGAATCAATAGCTTGTAGATCGAAGTTTACGATTATTATGGGCTATAATCCATTATTTTTTCCCGTTTTTGGCTGCTTTGGTCAAATGTTAATTATGTATGTTTACTTTAAAAAATTTGCTAATTTCATAGGCATCATATAATCAATGATTTTGTCCAATTTTTGTTTAGTTCTAACAAACGCAATTAAGTACATGTAGTTAAAAAGGTTTTTTCCCCCATAAACCACCTTTGAAATAAGGTCATTCTATAGAAACCACATTTATTTGTCAATTTATACATAAACCACCTTTAAAGGATTTTTTGTTGCAATCAACCACTTGGACCCTCTTTTCAATCAAGCTTTTTTGGTAATTGACCCCAACTAAACTCAATAAAGGATCATCTCTCTAATAGACTTGATATTTAACAACTAATTATCACAGAAAAATGAAAAAAAACTTGACTGTAAAAAGTAAGCCCATGTAGTATTGCAACTAAAAACCATTTCAAGTAGTTTACGTATAAATAAACAATCAAAGGTGGTTTCTATAGAATGATTCAATTATAAAGGAAGATTCTATAGGGAAAAAACCTCATTTAAAATTTCTGGATTTCATGGGTTATAACTCACTATTTGTACTTCGTTTCAACTGAATGGCGATAAAGTGTGTGCATTTTAAAATTCTTGATTTTCATGGGCTATCCAACATTTTTTTACTACTCTTGCCTATTTCAACCCAAATAAAATTAAGTATGTGTACATTAAAATTGCAATTTTATGAGCTAAACTATAATTTTAATTCGTTTTTGTTCATTTCAAAACATGACAATTAAGTACTTGTAGATCAAAATTCTTAATTTTTATGGACTACAACCACATTTTTTTAGTCATTTTCATCCATTTCGACAAAATGGATGTAGTTTAAAATTTATGATTTTCATGGGCTATAACCCACAATTTCTTTTTATTTTCATTTCGACTCAATTGCATGTATTCAAAATGTGTGATTTCCCTGGGTTATAACATTATTGTCTATTTCGACGGAATATAATTAAACATGTTTACTTCAAAATTTACTATTTTCATGAGCTATTAATCTACATTTTTTCAAGTTTTGACTATTTCAACCCAAAAGCAAGAAAGTACATGTTCAAAATTTGCAATTTCATAGGCTATATAACCCACATTTTGTTATCATAAGTTCCGACTCGATGGCAATAAAATATGTATTTTCAAGTTTTCAATTTTCATGGGCTATAACCCAAACCAATGATCTTTTATCATTTTTGGTTGCTTCGACCCAATGGAAATTAAGTATATTTACATCGAAATTTGACATTTTATAGGTTATAATATACTATTTTTATTTGTTTTTGTCCATTTCGACCCAATAGCAATTTAGTTCAAAATTCCCGATTTTCATGTATTATAACCCATGTTTTAGTCAATTTCATCCATTTTAAGTCAATGTGTGTCGTTCAAAATTTATACTTTTAATGGCAATAGCCCACAATTTTTGTTCATTTTCTTTAGTTTTGACTCAATGGTACGTAGTTCAATATTAAAATTTTTATGGACCGTAATCCATGATTTATGCCCATTTTTAGCTGTTTCAACCTAATGGAATTAAGCACTCTTCAAAATCCACAATTTTCATGTCTTATAATCCACAATTATGTATACATTTTGGTTTATTTTAACAAAGGCAATTAAGTACACATAGCTCAAAATTCACAATTTCATGGGTTATAACATATGTTTTTAAGTCATTTTCATCTATTTCGACTAAATGGCACATGGTTCAAAATTTGAGATTTTTCATAGAAATCCACAATTTGTATCATTTGTGTTCATTTAAGTATGTGTAGTTCGCAATTCTTGATTTTAATGGTTTATAACCAGCTGTTTTATTCCATCCATTTCAACTTGATGGCATAAAGTTCAAATTTTGCCATTTACATAGGTTATAATCCACAAGTTTAGTTCATTTTTGCCTATTTCAACTCAAAGGTAATTAAATACACGTAGTTTAAAATTTGTGACATAATGAGCTATAACCCACATTTTGTCACTTATCATCTGTTTCGGCCCAATAACGATAAAGTATGCGTATTACAAAATTCTTGAATTTAACAAATGATTTATTATCATTTCTGTCCATTTCAATCCAATGTAAATTAAGTATGCCTGTATGTGTACATCAAAACTGGTGGTTTTATGAGCTATAACCAACAGTTTTTATCCGTTTTTGTCCATTTTATCCCAACGGCAATTAAGTATGTATCGTCCTAAATTCCCAATTTTCATGGGTTATATAACCCACAAAATCTGTTCATTTTCATCCCTTTCAACTCAATGATATGTATTTCGAAATTTGCATGTTTCATGAGCACTAATGGTTTTGAAAAAAAATTCAGCTTCAATCCAATGCAACTAATTATGCTTACTACAGAATTTGCGATTTTTATGGACTATAACCCACGATTTTTGCTAATTTCAACCGAAAGGAAATTAAGTAAATGTAGCTTAAAATTCGCGATTTCATAGACTATGTAACCCACAATTTGCCTGATATTGTTCATCTTGACCCAATAGCAATAAAGTGATGCTTATTTAAAATTCTCAGTCTTTATTTTTGTCTATTTTAACCCAATGAAAATCAAGTAAGCATACATAAAAAATTGTCATTATATAGAATATATCCTACAACTATTTTCCATGTTTTTCTGTTTCGACCGATGTATTATTAAACATAAAAAACATACTACAAATAGTATAACTACGTAGAATAGGGAACCTAAAGTATGCAGTTATACACCCTATTGTATGTAGCTATACACTATATTATGTAGTTATACACCCTATTGCATGTAGCTATACACTTGGTAGTGTTCTAAAGTAAGTGAACTTTGTATTTCATGTGTACAAAAACATACAGAAGTCTCTGTGTTTTAGAATAAATGGAAGTGTTTATAAGCAAAAAGCGCCCACTTTCAAAGGGAAATTACAAAAAAAAGAATGGTTTACATGAACAATAGAACGTTCAAGCCTGCCTTTTGAATTTTTCATCAAACAAGGTCACACAGGTTGACCTGTTAATGACAAATATATCCTCATTTCTTCCCTTAAAGAAAAGATAAAGAGCATTTTTGCCATTAAACGGAAGGAGGGTTTGAAGTGTTAGTTCTTCAGCGAAATTTTCTACCATTTCTACAAATCTTAGGGGGGCTTTATGAATTATGACTCTTTACTTACCTCACTATCTCTTGCTCCAACAGTCCTTGTGGTGACAAATCCAACAAGTTCATCACCTCGCCCATCAAGCTCGTTAACGACAACAGCAGCCCAAGAGACGATGCCATGCTCGTTAACAACATTTAGAAAGAATTGTCTCTCATAGCTATAACAAATATTCAGCAAAGTAAATTGCCTATAGGCATTTTTGGACGATAAAGTTTCACAGAAGAATGAAGGGTTATTTCAATATCACTCCCTCAAATCTTTCATTTTGAGATTAGTCCCCCAAATCTATTGGAGATTGTTCCCAGATCATACAAGCTATTTGAAATTAGCCCCTCCACATTAGCAATCATTTGGTTTTATTTTTATTTTTATTTTTATTTATTTTTTTGTTGGGGGGGGGGGGGGGGGGGTTGAAATGAAATAACACTTATACAGTTTCTAGTACCAATACAAACCTGATTCCAAGCAAGAGAGAAGAATGTTGATGTTTATTTTGGTGGCTATAGAGAAGGATTTTTTTTCCCCTATCTCAAAAGATGAAGCAGAAGCCAGAGAGAGGGAAACCTGATGTTTGGGGCACGGGAGTATTTAGTGAGGTTAGTTTGATAATTTCTCATCCATAATAAAGCACTAACCAACCATGGTTAATAGATTGGATGGATTTTGTAACGGGTGCACTAATTTTAAATATCATAATGATTGGGGGACCTGATAACAATCTCAATGTTTGATGGACTAATCTCAAAATATGAAAGAGTTGAATACTGATAGCGAAATAACCCATAAATGAAAAAAGTGTACCATGTGCAATGGAATCACCTTATTGGAAACAAGGCAGCATGGATTTGTTCAAGAGCATCAAGATCAGAAGGCTGCATTGGCCTATAAATAATAGTTGGAAAATGTATAGTTTTTGAGTCCAACATGGGAAGAAACATTACTAATCCCCTGAAAGCAGATATTTCTGAATAAGATGCATGTACAACTCCCTTCCCATCTATGCCAAATTCACTTCTTGAATGTTTCTGTCATCACTTATACACATTGTATCCTTTTGACCTCTGTTAGATCACTGCAATTTTCAAACAAAATATTAACTCCGTATAATCCCTGCTTATCAGACAACTTTAAGGTTTTTCATATGTTTCCAAAAGCAGTAGCTCTGTGCTTAATGTAAATAATTCTTCTACTCGTCTATGAGAACTATTATCAGTTAATAGTACAATGAACTAGTCTAAATGAGAAACTGAATTGGTTATCTGGCATATGCTACAATAGCACCAAATTCAATAGATCCCAGGTTACAACACCCATTATTATCACTTTAAATACTCACTTTCGCCGTTTATTCTACTTTTGCACTTGACAAAGGCCCATATATGAGGAAACATTGAATGTTCAGCTTTTCACAAGCTTTATCAAGAACCAAGTAATATAACCTTTTAAGCTATGACAAGTATAATTATGATGCACAATAACTATAGCAAAATATTCAACAAACTTGCATTGCTGTCAATGATAGAGACGCGGGGTGGGTGGTGATCCCCCCCTAATTTCCAGAAAGAACTTGAGAGGTGTACATAATTCCCCGAAAAAATACTTAATATATCATAATTTTTAGAGATTAAACTACACAAATTCCAGTTTCATTGTTGATTTCTCTCATAGCTACAATAAATGTTCGCATGGTAATTTCCAGAAAACTCTGCGGTGTACATAATTCCCAAAAAAATAACTTAATTCAAATAAAATCCATTAAAAACCCAAAGTAAGAGGAACGAGGCTTTTTTATGCCAAAGGAAAAGATGATTCCAGCTTAAACGTACAAAAATGAAACCGATGAAACTAATCAAAATCCCAGCTGACCCCAAAATTTGCAGCTTTCATCAAAATTTTTACGAAAAATCCAATTTTGACATCAACCAAGAATCACATATTACAAATAGCAAAATAACCGACCAATTATTCAATCAAACAACGACAAAATTATGAAATACAAAACCAATCTAGCTCAAAATTAATCTAAGAAATGGGTTTACCTTAACAACAACAGATGCAAAAGAACCGAGGTCGGAACCTGTGATCCATCGATGAATTATTCGAGAAGAAGAACGAAGATTGAATTGCTAATTGGGCCGTCAGAGGATTTTGACCCGAACCGGTCGCTATTAAAAGAAGGGTGGACCATCGTAGAGGTTTCTAATGCGCCGGCGGAATAGGTTAAGGGGAACGGTCAATGCTTCCACCGTTCATAAATTCCGTTCCCGTTTGAATAAACGAAGTATTAAAAGTAAAAAGTAGGTTATAGAAGTAACTTTCAAAGCTACGAAGTAGGAAGTAGTGGAAATTGTATTTTTTTTTTTTTCATATATTTTTAGAAGTAATGAAAGTCTCTTCATTTACTTTTTTTATTTGTATAACATTTGGAAATATTATTAGGAAGTAATTTTATTAATGAAAAGTTGTTAGAAGTAACTAATAAAGAAAATATTAATAAAAAAAATTTATTTATGTCATAATTAATATGCATTTCAACTACTTCCAACCTACTTCTGAGTATTAAGGGTTGGAAAAATATTTTGAAAGTAAGGATGACACGTAGGCGCCACATAAGTATTTAGGGAAGTATTGGAAGTAAGTTTTTCAGAGAACCAAGTAAGGATGACACGTAGGCGCCACATAAGTATTTAGGGAAGTATTGGAAGTAAGTTTTTCAGAGAACCAAACACACTTTTTTGCTTGGAAGTAGCAGAAGTAGCATCTACTTCTTTTACTTCAACTACTTCACAATTGCTTTCGTGCAAACAAACAGGCCGGTTATAAAAATCTAGAAGTGTGAAAGTCATTTTTTACGAGTGTAAAAATTTACTTGCATTAGTCCACAGGTGAATTATAGTATTTGAATGAAAAGAGTTATTCTTGAAACTACGTATATTAGTAGATTAATAGACCAAGAGTTTTAATTCTAATCTAGTTTAAATAAGCCCCTAAAACTCACATATTTTAAATAACGCCTAAATTATTTGATTGGTATTTTTTTTATACACCCCTCTTATGTTTGGTATTTTTTTTCTAGCTCCTAAAACATTTTGATATATTTTTTATGAGACAAATGTGTAATTACACTCAAAAACTTTGTTGCGTACGGAAAAAAAAGCCGTGAAATTTCACATGTATGTGTTAGTGCTATCTTATTCATGAAGAAAATACTAAGAGATTATTTCGCACCTTGGTATAAAAATAATAACTAATAGATTCGGAAGCAAAACTACAGAGGACTTATTTGAAAGAATTAACACATTTGGTGGACGTAGTAAAAATATGTGAGTGTTAAGGGATTTATTTAAGAGAACTTATTGTTCTATATTTAAAAAATTTAAAATTTACCTAATATGGTCTAGCTAAGTTAATAAACTGCCTATGAGAAGCACTCAAAGGTTTTAAGTTCAACTCTCTTAGGAAGCGTTCACATGAATCTAATTTTCTAGAATATCCAATGTTGCGCATTTAGGAGTGCTCATTAGCCACTCTCGGGAGGTTGATACACGCGGTCTAAGGGATCGTGGAGAAGTCCCCTTGCCAAACCCAAAAAAAAAAAAGGAGATTTACTTTAAAATAGACTTGATTTAGGGACGAATATAAAAAACGCCCCTAAGTTAAAATATTTTAATTAGCACGAATACCTAATATTCTTTCCTCTTTTCAGAAGGACATCGATAAAATTTTAGGAAATGCTAAATGTACACTATATATATAAGATGGACCACTTTAATTTACTCTCATTTACACTTTCAACAAAACACTAAAGTGTTGAAATTGTGCTTCATTTTCACTTTCATCCAGACAAACGTCGCCTACCATGCTATAAGAGCATCTCCAACAGCTTCCCCATCTTCTTGAAATACTCAAATTTGGAGAATATAAAGCTTTTTTTTGGTCCAACAGATTCCCCATCTCATTCCCCAAAATAGGGAAGGAGGAGAAAAAATAGGGAGCCTTCCCCAAATCTGCAGCATTCTCCAAATTTTTGGGGAGAGCTTTATTATTGTAATAAATGCGATTTTTTAAAATGGGGAAGCTGTTGGAGTTGGAGCAAAAATAATTTGGAGAATATGACTTTTGTTTCTCCATTTTGGAGAAAATTTTGGGGAAGCTGTTGGAGATGCTCTAATACTATATAGCTATGATGGATGGTATCCCCAAATGGGTAAATTATTAGATTGTTATTTTTTTATGTATGACTTTTTTCGGTTTGGTATTTTTCTAGCTCCGATGATGCGTTTTTTTTTCCTCCCGAGCAAAATGTGTAATTAGATCCAAAGTTTCATCATTGGCGGAAAAAATTTGTGAAACCTTGCTTGATGTTGTTAGTGCTATCTTATTCACGAGGAAACACTAGAAAATTATTTGGCATATAGGGATAAGGATAATAACTATGTCTAAGATTATGCAAGAATGTTGAGTTCGCTGAAATAAATTTACATATATATATAGTGTACATTTAATATATATAGTGTACATTTAATATGTCAGATCTGCCTTTCGGATTGGAAGATATGATTATTTCTTTGCGGAAGTCAATAATATGTATAAATCTGTATTTAGCTCGTGATAATCGGAATCCTCCATGAAATTGTCCGTTAAGCGTCCTACATCAGTCTCTCCTTGTTGAAAGAAGCTTGATCTCGAGCTTATATTTGTTAGAATAGTAGCTTCATTGATAAATATTTTTTTTACTCTTGCAACGATCAGCATCCGCTTATACTTAACATTGATTTTCTCCATTTGTTTTTTTACCTCCTCGGTTAGGACTTTTTCTAAATCAAATTCGTATATTATTCTTTTTTACATCATGTGCATTTTATTGGCAGCATGTGGATGTGCAGTTGACTTGAAAAACTCCTCAAAATATGCTCTATGTTGCTTCTCATATTCTAGTGCTGGAAGTATTATCAAAATCATCTTGAAATTATTCACAACATTTGCTTCCAGAGAAGAAAATCATGCCTCACTTCATACACAATTCTTTCATCTCCTTTGTCTGTAGCCCTCCACCAAGCAATTCACATATATCATCAATTGCCTCACTCTCCAATTTATCCTTCTCCTCCATCGGGACAACATCAATATGTGCAATATCACTCTCAACCTCTTTGAAAATATCATGCATATCATCCATCTTCACTATTACATCATCATCATAAATCTCATGCATAACAAGTGTATGCGCCTTAGGAGGAATTTTGACATGAGCTTTGCTTTCAATTATAACTAAGTCATAGACCTCTTCAATTTGCTTCATATTTTTTGCTAAAGCCTCGTTGTATGCCACCAAAAGTTTCTTCTTCTTAGTATCCTTTATCTTAGATGGCTCTGTAGGCGTTTAAAATTGTCTACGAGAGCCCGCACGAAACTCGAAGCAATGAATGGGCGAGTCAAAGAGATTCACCAAATCAGCTCGCACACGTCGCTCGGCGCACTCACGCCATTCAGCTAGTGCGCGCCGGTCAACGCGTGCACATCAACCAACTCGTGTGCACCGGTCAACGTGCGCACGTCAATCAACTCGTGCGCGCCGGTCAACGCGTGCACATCAATCAGCCTGCGCGCATCGATCAGCACGCGTATATTAACCAATGCGTGTTCAACGATCGGTCTTGCGGCGAAGCATACAAGTCAACAAATCGGTCAAACACGCGAAAAGAGAAAAATCTCGGAAGAAAGGGAACATAAAAGAATGAGTCGGCAAAACTGCGCGAGCGCAGGACGGAATAAACCGACCCGCGCAAGCGCGGGACGGATCAATCTGACCTGCACAAGTGTAGGTCGGATCAATCCGACCTACACAAGTGCAGGTCGGATCTGATCCGACCCGCACAAGTGCAGGTCGGATCAATCCGACCTGCACAAGTGCAGGTCGGATTTGTTCTGACCTGCACAAGTGCAGGTCGGATCTGATCCGACCCGCGCAAGCGCGGTGCTGCCGGATTGTGGAGTCAAAGGAGCACGAATTTCAGCGAGGGTTGACAGATCTTGGCGAGTTCTTCGGCATAAAGAAGGAGAGTTCGAGAGATCCGACGCCCGTTCCCGTCCGTCCCTTGAGATTAGGCTTGGTCTTAATCTCGAGAAGAGCCCTGATTTCGCTTGGTCGATTTCAGCGCTTCAAATCAAATACTTCCTCGGCGAAGGCGAAGCTCTGCCAAATTTTTCATCAACCGGATCCAGATCTAAGGCGGTCCACGGATAAACCCCGGCACAGGCAAAGATCCCACGCAAGCAGAAGACCGATAAACGATCTCTGCGTTTGTTTTGACGAGAGTTGTAAACTTTTGTTTTCATTGTGTAAAAGTCTTATAAAAAGACAATCTTTTTTTGTTTTCATTGTAACGATTGAAGTTGTAATGAATACCGCAATGAATACATCAATTTTCGACGCAAACAAACTGGCGACCACAGTGGGAGCCAACAGCTTCGCTTCCGGAGCTGTCGTGTCGCAACCTCGGATCTGCATCCCGGTTGAAGAAGTGGTCGAGTACGAGTTCGACCAACTGAAGTTCGAGGACTATCAGTCGTCCTCCTCCTCCAGATCATCCGCCTCTCGCAAGCGAAGGAAGATCAACGCCCCCGTTGTTGCGATAGCTGAACCTTACAACGGCCTTCCGGCCTCCAATGAGTCCGGATCTGCAGATCTGAACTCCTCCTCAATCAAGGAGTTGAGTACAGAAAATCAGCTCGCACACGTCGCTCGGCGCACTCACGCCATTCAGCTAGTGCGCGCCGGTCAACGCGTGCACATCAACCAACTCGTGTGCACCGGTCAACGTGCGCACGTCAATCAACTCGTGCGCGCCGGTCAACGCGTGCACATCAATCAGCCTGCGCGCATCGATCAACACGCGTATATTAACCAATGCGTGTTCAACGATCGGTCTTGCGGCGAAGCATACAAGTCAACAAATCGGTCAAACACGCGAAAAGAGAAAAATCTCGGAAGAAAGGGAACATAAAAGAATGAGTCGGCAAAACTGCGCGAGCGCAGGACGGAATAAACCGACCCGCGCAAGCGCGGGACGGATCAATCTGACCTGCACAAGTGTAGGTCGGATCAATCCGACCTACACAAGTGCAGGTCGG